TCTTTGAAGGGTTACTTGAAGTAATAGTTTCTAGAGGTACATCACAGGTCTTGAAACATAAAAATCACAAGTAATTTGACAAATGTTCCTTGGGGTTGTCTTGATGATGTTCTGACCAAAAAGTTTCCATTTGTAGGCAAGAGGGAAATTAGTAAAATGTTAGGGGTCATTACAGAGCATCTACCCTTAAAAGCCCACGTTGGGAGAATTATAAAAGTAGACCTGTTGTTGAACATTGCAACCGTTTGAGTTGGTCATTGGTCAGCTGGGGTGAAAATAATTGAGGTTTTTTCTAAATTCGTCGAGTTTTTGGTGAGTAAACGGAAGCTCAATGTACCTATAGGCGCTCTTGCCTACACCTTTTTAACCACTCAACTCATCAAAATACCTTTAGCAATTATGTCGAACTTACAGAATGCAGAACGCAAGTCTGAGATTCAAAACAAAAAAAAAAAAAAAAAAGCTGTGAATGTTATTTTTTGGAGAGATGGATTTAGGTATATAGGGATAGATAGAGACAAATTGTTGATAGATATGAGCTGTAGTTTTGTAGAAATGCTCGGAGAATGGGATCGTTCTCAATCCACCGTCCGTATCACATTCTAACTAAGGAGAAGCAGCCTGGGAGCTTTCTTTTTAGGATAATACAGTAGCAATTGTATCAGGAATATAATTGTATGTTCTAATATATGTAGATCCCAGGTCAAAATAATAATAAAATTTATATTATTCTACTATTTTTTTTTTATAAAATGTTGTGTCAAGGCTTTCCTACATTTTAAATATTTTATTATTAATAATATGATCAAATTTTACATATCTCCCGAGCAACCCTTCGGAGGAGATGCATCGTCCTCTACATATGTTGGATAAAGTGAAATAGATCGCTAAGACCAAGTTAGAGCAGCTAGACCAACTTCCTTGTAGTGTCTCATGTTGTTATTTTATATAAATATGTAGAATATGTATCAAAGAGAAGCAACAATTGGTTTTCAGTTAGAAAATTAGGTAGTCAGAAAAAAAGTATACAGTGATTTAAAATCTTCAAAAATTAAATTAATTTCCATTTGTGAAATAGCCAATGAAAAAATTAAGGTCCGAATATTGCTTGTGAGAATATTAAAGAGTACAAGCACATTTTGTATAGGAAATTTGCAAAACTTAAAGAAGCAGAAAGAATTGACGAACTGCGGTAGAGCAACTGTGTCTAAGAACAACACAATGAGCAATGCGCTGATTTAAGCAGGCATAGAATTCGCTTTCTGCAAAATTGCGAAAATAAAAATCTAATGCCACATGCATAGTAATTCCTTTTGAGTTATATTACCGCCATACGTTGCATGCTACTTTCCCTGTGCGCCTATCAATAAAAGTCTGCTAGGTAAATTTGTACACAATAAATATTTCATAAGAATACCATTATTTATTTACAACAAAAGAACGCACGAATGAACGACCATAAATAAATAAATAAATAAAAATGCTATTGACACATAAAAACATCGCAACACACATACATCGAGTACTTGATGATAGAAGATGGATGCCTTTTCGCCTTCCTTGCGGCTCCCTGTGGAGAGAAAACACACAAACGCAGCTGAAGCGAAAGGAACAGGACCGCAGCCGGCGCCAGGTGGCGAACGGAAAGGCAAACGAACAAACATGCACGCACACTCGCGCACTAAATTATGCTCACCTTAATGAGTAAGAGCGTGATGTTGGTAAACAGCCACAGTTGCATTTGTACACACGCACAAACAACTACAAATATTTATACATAATTTTACACAAAGGACATGCGAGCACTCGTGGTGCTGCCGCGCTCCACGCTGTTGTTGCTGTTGTCTTGTTGGACGCGTAAATTCCGTAGTCAATACGTAATAAATGTGCGCTGCCAACACACGGCAAATGAGCGTGGTCCAATTCGAATGTGCTTGGGTGTGTGGTGAGAGCGAGCGCGCGCGGTTTGTGCGCAATAATAAGGATAACAACAAACATAGGGTGAATTTGTTGTTGCTTTTGTGCTTTTTTGGTGCCATAAACATTGTGTGTGTATAACAGTGAGTGCCACAGCAAGGGCTGGCTACGTTAAGCCACACAATTCGCCAGTTTTCATTTCGTTGCAGTACCTTTTCGGTGTGTGTCCTGTGCGGTGGCTGTGTCGGGCAGCAGCAGCAGCTGTATAATGTGAAATACTTACTTGGAAATTATGCTGAAAATTTTGCAAAGAAAAAAGAAAACTGTAGTGATATGACAGCATTGCGGCTGATATCAAGTTAAATATATTAATAAGTCTTTCATTTGCAAGACAAGCCGGCAAGGATAATGCCAGGAGAGCTATATTAAATACGTAGAAAAGTGTTAAACGCTTTGTGGTGCTTAAGCGAGCAGGCTGCGACGCCTGGCCGCTGACAAACGCGTTGTCTGTCTGTGTGGTGATAAATCAATAGCAAGGCCAAGTATGTGACTTAGAAGCGATAATCCTTGCTGCTGGGCTTGCCAAATTGGCAAGTGGCTGTAATGCTGCAGACGACGTAAATATTTGCAAAAATCTCAAGTAAAAAGTATGAAATGTGTCGAAATTTTCGCTGAAATTGCAGCTATGCGAAATGAAATTTTAGTGTACATTTATTTGCCGTTTGTGCGCCGGGGCGTAGCCACCTGCTGAGCGAGCGCCCGCTTACAAGCAGCATTACTACGCATCGCGTATAGCAGCAATATTTACATACATACATAAATATGAAAAAATATATGTGAAAGGAAATTGTTTTTGTGCGTGATATAATTTTTTAGTGTAATATTCTATTTTAATTTCCTTTCACAATTCGAATGAAGTCGAAAATGTGCACAGCCGGTCGTTACTGCGGCGCGCAAGTGTTACGAAAATAGTCTGTGTGGCCTTCCACAACAGGATATGTGTGGCTAATTAGTGTTCTTCAGTGGCGTGGACTGTTTACCAAGCCTTGCGGAGGTAGTTTGCTCTGTTGTGTACGCTAAAAATAGTAAAATGCATTAAAGTGTGGGAAGTGTGGAAAGTGGTAAATACCCGCGTTGTGAGTCAAATATATTGAGTTGTGTGGGTAGAAGGATTTGAAAGGCTCATAAAATAAAGTGGAAGTAAAAAAATAAATAAAAAAAATAAAAAATAAAAATAAAAATAAAAAATAATTATAAATTTTAAAATTGTCAAAGCCTAGTTATTAATTTTTTGAATTTGATAGTACGAGAAGAATATTCTTTTACTTTCGAAATAACTTATACTCCTAACTAATGCTACCAGTTATATATACCTGAAACTAAATATAGGGCATAAGAGAGCCTGGTTATTATTTTTTTGAAGTTTATTGTACAAGAAATTAGCATATTTCCTTACCTTTGGAAAGACATATGGTACTCCTAATCAATGTTACCAGCTTTATATACCTGAATCTAGAAATATTAGAGAACATAGATATCAATTTTAGAAATTTGCTACTACAAAAACTATTACCATGATACCCTTAACCAATGCTACCCATTTCATATACCTAAAGCTAAATAGGTAAATAGCTAAATTTTCATAATTTCGACTCGTTTTTGGATCGTGTATCTTTCCAATGGCAAACCGTTCTGAATAAAAATGTCACAAGAGCGGGAAAAATATGGCGTCGTTTTTGTAGCATCCCTATTGAAAAATCCATTATTTGCTATTAGAGCGCCTAGTTGCTAATCCATCAATTTTTCTCAAAATTATTCTCCTGAGCCACTATTACCAACCCACTAATTTGATCTTGCAATCTTACTGGCACGTTCTTGGATCTTTCTTACTTTATAAAAATCGCACGTAAAGTTATAATATGTAGTTCTCGAGGAATGTTAATATAATTACTAGAAATACCGAATTTTATCTTTTCCCAGTTCATTTTTATGCACCCCTGCCACTTTCCAAACGAAGTCATTTTTTAAATATCATAATTTCTTTTAGTTGAAAAAGACTGGGGTTTCCCTTAAAATACTCTGATAGTTAATATAAAGCCTAGTTTTTAATGATAGTTAATATTTCCTACTTTCTCTCTCTAATTGGGAGCTGAGCTTGTTTCAAAGACTCTAGATGCTGCTCTTATCCGGGAAAAAGTTTTCTTGTAACTTAATTTTGCGTACTTTTTTCTGCTATATGAAGACTAATAAACTACCGTGGGAGCTAACAAATGAGCATAAGTGGCGCAGGCGATAATTATTAGGTAATTTTAAATAAATAAAAAAAATTGTAAACTTTGTAACTTGACTTATCAGTGCTCTGATAAAAAAAATAACGCTCCGTTTAAATTAGTGACGAAATATCTCCCTGATCTATTTGATCTTGCTTATAAATTTTTTGGTTTCAAAATAGTAGCTCTGTATAGACAATATTGTGGGATACTTCTCAGCTTCTAAGTATGTATCAATATATACGTTGAATATCCAATATGTAATAGCCATGTAATAGCCATATAATGATTACACATACAATGATTACTGAATGATTACCTAAGTAATGATCTAATGATTTTTTTCAGAAAGTAGTGAATAAGTATGAACAATAAAAATGGATAGACGTTTTATGAGAATTACAACGTTTCTTAGTATCAATATGCGAGTCGAGTTCCCAATAATTACATTGTAATGATTACTAATAATGATTACACATAATCATTTCATATAATGATTACTTTTAAGAGGGGTTAAAGATTATTTTCAAAAAAGAGTGATTAAATAATGATTACTTGTATAAATAATGTTTAAGAAGTGAATAGTTATGTACAATAAAAATGTATAGACGTTTTATGGGAGAATATTACATTTCTTAGAATCAATATGTGCAACGAATATCCCAAAAACTTTGTAATGATTACTAATAATGATTACAATTAATCATTTCATATAATGATTATTGTTAAGAGGGGTTAAAGATTATTTTCGAAAAAGAGTGATGAAATAATGATTACTTGTAATGATTATTATACCGATCTAATGACTATTTTCTAAAAGCAGTGAGTAAATATAATAAAAACATCAACATATAATCTCAAAAAGTGTAAAGTAAAGAAAACTAAGAAGTGCACCACCAATCACGAAAAGAGTATTATTATACATCCGTCCTGAATGAAAAGTCAAAGGTCATGCGCTACAATAACAATAAGGCTTTAGAGCGTAAAAGAGCAGAAAGCGAACGTGTAACAAAAAGTAAAGAGAGTAAAAACGCGGAAATATGAAAGGAGCAAGCAAGTGAAGAGACGAACGCCCATAAAAACAAAACGCAGTGAAGCAACAATTGTGCGGAAAACAAGGAAGAAAAGTAACGAATACATTCAGAGAACAAACGAAACAGAGAAAACTGTCAGCAGTAGCATTAAAGAGCGCAGGATGTGAGAGAGTGGGCTTTTGATTGTTTGTAAAGTAAAAAAAATAAACAAAATAATTAGTATTTACTACAAAACAAGCTCTTACGCATACTATTTGTATACAGTGTATATATACTGCGCGGGAAAACATAATACAACACAAACGACCACACCACTCGCCAGCATATTAATAACACTCAGCACACTTTCAAACAACACACCGCCGTATAATCATTCACACAAGTGCGCGTATAATCATTCAGCCTGGGTTTCGTTAAACGTAAAAGTTCCTCTGCGGAGAGTATCGCCTTTGCGTCGGTCGGTGAGTGCAACTACGGTGGGGCTGAAGGTGCTGCGGCGGCTGGTCCCTCGACATCAGCGTCGTGCTACGGTACGGGCCGGCGGAAAAGCAGCGCCAGCGTTGCCGAGGAGGAGGCAACACGCCGTCAGAATCGTATACGCGAACGGGAACGACAGGCGGAGGCGCGGCGTCGTCGACGCGACACAATGTCCTTTCGCAATGTGTATCGTGCGCTGCGTATGCGTTTAAGCAGTAAGCGAATTCTACTCCTTTTTTTTTTTACACACTCTAGTTACATACAATGCATATTTTTTGTTGTAATTTGTATGGAATCCTTAGTGCTAGTCCAACTTGGGTTGTGTTGCGTGTATTTATTATATCAAGTTTCGTGTCGGATTGTTTTGGTTTGATTTGGATTGCAGTTTCGGGTGTTCGTGTTTATTTTGGCTAATTTGTGTTTTGGTTAAATCTCGTTTCATATTATATTTTGTCCATAATCTTGAGAGTTTTGTTCTTGCAAAAGCATCTTAGAAGAGGTTGAGATTGAAACACATCGAAACTTCTTTTTCCTTTTATCAGCCATTGTCAGATCAAAGCTGAAATATCGCGGTTCCCACACTTTAAGACGTCTTGGTGAAATAGCGGTAATAAAGTGGTGGGTTCAAGCCACTTTATCGAAAATTAATTTCAGCTTACTCGAGTCTTTTAGCTGGCTTCAGAAGGAACTGTATTTAGTAAGCTTAGTGCTGCTTTCGACAGCACGAAAACGAGTTGTCCTTATACTGGATGTCTGAAATATCTCCGAAAAACTAATAGGACTGTTTAAATTGAAGTTGAGCAACACCAAAAGTTTCGTCAGGATCGGGAAAGACCTCTCCGAGCCGTTCGATAGCCAAGGAGGTTTCCGACAAGGCGTCTCCCTATCGAGCGACTTCTTCAACCTGGTGCTAGAGAAAATAATTCGAGTTGAAGGACTAAATAGAGAAGGTACCATCTTATATAAGAGGGTACAACCGCACCATTAGTTAGTTCTGCTTTCTTCAGAATGGCGACATGGACATAGTTCAGCGAATCAAGAGGCAGCGGCTACGCTGGCTAGGTTAGGTCATACGTATGGACGATAACGCTCCAGCTCTGAAAGTATTCGACGCTATAGCCGTCGGGGGAAGTAGAGGAAGAGAAAGACCTCCAGTCCGTTGAAACAAACCAGGTGGAGAAGGAGACTTGGAACCTCAAATTGGCGCCAAACATTGAAAAGAAAGAATGACTGGTGCACTGTTGTTAACTCGATTAACTGTTAACTGTTGTTAACCGAATCTTTGCCTTAAGAAAATGAGATTAAAGAGTTTTTAATATAGTTTTAGATATCTTATACTTCAAACTAGATTAGTCGTGTTCTCAACTCACTTTTCGTTTCAATAAAGTAGTTGCTTTTTTGTCGAAAGTTAGAAAATTTAGTAGCTCTGCTTGGATTGTCTCATATTCTTCTCAAATCTATCTTTTTCTAGAAATTATCTTAGCTGGAGGTTGGAATTTATTTTGTGGTAGAAAGAGTGTAATGTAGGCTTAAGTGTGGCTGCTTGAGGTTAGGCGTTTCTGCGAGCTCTCTTTTCAACTAATCAACCAACCTTAGTTGTTGAATTTGAAGCTCCTAAGAGTATAATTTATATTCTCTAATTATTTCAAAAAGAATTTGAAAAATAAATCCTTTTATTTTAACCTTTTCATAATGACGAGTTTGCGTTTTCCCCACGCAGTTACCACAAATTGCATTTCCATTTGCTGAGGGTGATTTCTGACCGCCTGCGATAGCACGAATTTTAACAAGACAACTTAGCAAATTGGTATAATAGTAAAAACGGTATTTTTTAAAATACTGCAAAAAAGATGTTAAAAGGTCATTATTGTAAGGAGAACAAACGAAGCATAACCGCCAACGCTGCAAGGCAAGCCTTTAATGGACTTCCTGCGGACAAACGCTACGAAGGACATGCGATGAATAACTAGAACTACAGCTAACTGTAATTTGTACTATTCTTAAACACGAAATGAATGGGTATGACGATGATAAGTGCACAAAAGCTCATAGTGTTTTGTTGTTGTAAATTTAATGCAACACAGAATGCTTTAACTGCGCGCTGAGTCGGGGGAACGAGGTAGCAAAGCGGTTGTTGCGCAGGCAGAGCAGTCACTCAACGTTGGAGGTTATGTAAGACAGTTGAGATATTTTGTGGTTTTGGATTTCTATGCCGAATGCATGATTTTTGCTTATATTTTAGGGTAGCCATAAATTTAAATTACTGATGGTGGCCGAAAGAGTTCATTCAAGCCAAATGACTATAAATTTATAATTGTTAATCCAATGGCAAACAGACACACTTTAAATTTTCTCTAATTCCTAAATATACAGCTGGTTGCAGAAAATTTAGAAAATATTCATGATAAACTTGTCTGAATGTGGGAGAAACTGAAATTTATTCTGTATTAATCACATAACCTCAAAATTTCCACTTCATTACATTACGAGTTCCTTGCGAATGTGAGTTTACATTGGCAAATCCATGAAAATATAAAACTGATGCGATTTGTTGCTTGTATAAATTTAGTTGAGATTTTAATAAACACATTCAGTTACATATATACAACTTGTACATGCCTTGGTCGTATATACATATAATTTCCAATCATAAATCTAGTCAAGCAATAAAACACTTTCAAAAATATACAATTGCTGTGTATAAATTTTGTTTAGTTGGCATTGTGTGCTCATAATAAATACATATGGCTAGTAAAAGTTCATAAATTTCGCTTTTGTGCAGCTGATCGGATTTCGGCACACATTTTCTACCTGAAAGTCTGCCTCGGCAATGATTTTATTAGAAAAAATATATTCATATATTATATATTAATTACAATTTCCGGGTACCAGTATTTTATGTAACAGGTCAATGTAAAAGTCTCCGGTCTACAACGTACATTTTTTTTTGAAAAATTTCCCTTTTTTTCTTTTCAACATCCTTCCCTTCAAGGGTGATCCAGTGATTATAGCGACGCTTCATGTTTTCAATATAATTTTTGTAGTACAATTTGTCCTTTGCTTCAAAATAGAGCTCAGTTTCGGCGATCACCTTTTCATTCGATAAATATTTCTTCTCAGAAATTCAACGTTCTTTTGACATCTGAGAACGCGAAACAGTCGCTGTGGGCCAGATCTGGAGTATATGGTGGATGCGGAAGCTATGCGAAGCCGAATTCATGCGTATTTACAGACTTGTGATTAGCCGCATTGTTTTGGTAAAGCAGCACTTTCTTTTTTTTTTCAAAGGCCGCGGTTTTTTGACGATTTCGTCCTTCAGACGATCCAATAACGTTATATGATGGTCGCTGTTATCAAGAATTTTTCCATGTGTATCCTAAAATATGTACATACATACGTCATAATCTTGAAACCCAACCGTTGCGTCCATACAATGTCATATTTCGTCGCTAAAACCCACGTATGTATATTACGGTCTGCAAACACTGAAAATGGGGTAAGGCTGTCGCCAGTACCCACGTTAAACACACCGGACGTTGCCTCCAAACACTGCTCCGAATTATTTGTTATTTTTAGTCAAAAGTGAGTTCGCGCGGCACGCACTTTGCACAGAGGTTTCTCACACCCAAATATTCAACCACAATATACCACCAATACTTTCCTTATAAATCTTTAGAGTCTCAGCTATCTCGCTCTTCGGTCATACAAAATTATTTTGTGGACTTTTTTGGATGATTTTATCGGTAACAACCTCTTTTGGAAGTCCACTGCGTCACCGCCTTGCATTGTTGCTGTGCTAATCGATGTCGAATGTTGGAAAAAATTATCCCGCGTACAGTTTTGCGAATTTACTCCATTTTTTGTCCCAAATTAATATTTTAAGTTACTGTAAACAACACAAAAAGCCCTCGTATGTCAAAACATTCTGAGCATGTATGACATCAAAATTTTAAACTTTACAATAAAATAGTGATTTTTCAGCTTGCAACCCTAGTGTAGCCAAATCCCGAAATATAAAAGGCAAACTACATATTTGACTCCCAATTAAAGATAATGCTGCCAGAATACCTCCTTGTCTTCTTTCTTGTTGGTTAAATAATTGTTTTAAAAATTTATGTTAATTTTGTTTATCTGAGCTATGATTTCCAAAGGAAATTCATCTTCACAATTCTTCTTATAAGGTTTATTAAGTTATCATATAATTTTATTATATTTGTATAGTTTTTTTTATGAAATCTATTAAACCATAGTATCTGCTTAACATGTTACAGTTTTTTATATTAACAATTATTCTTATTTTCTTCGTAGACGATGAGGACCTCACTTCAACAGCGGCTGCGGCCGATGATACAGATAGACGAATAATATTTTTGAATCGACCGCAAATACAGAAGTTTTGCAACAATCACATATCAACTGCGAAATATAGGTGAGTCTGAAAAAGATTATAAATTCGTATAAACATTTAGAAGTAGGATAGAAAATACTTAAATAATACAAAGTATTGTATTCTTAACAAAAAAAATTACAA